CAAGCTATCAGATGGTATCTACCTTCAGTAACTTTAACTCGTATGTTAGTTAGAACAATTGTTTAGCCAAAAAGCCAATCTCTGAAAGGTTTTATGCCATGTTCCTTTCTTTTCAAGCCTCCAAACGGTAACATAAGTTGGAATGTATGTATTACGCTGTACAGTTGGTACTCGTATAGTAGAACAGTTTTTGTTGGGATACCAATGACTAAAATGGGTGTTGTGCTATTCCATTTCTTCCTAACACCCAAGTGCTTTTCCAAGCTAAGATCTCCACCCTTGTCAGAGTAGCAGCAGTTAATCTGAATACACCATGTGGTTTCTCCAGAGAACAAAGTCTCTACTATGTATCACTCTTCCATGTAATGCAAGGGGGCTGTGTTTTCCATAAGTTCACACAGTAAATTTGGTAACAATTTCAATAGAATAAGTCTTGTATTGTTGAAATTACCTCTGCCTACTTTGCTCTGATACCAACCAGGATGATTAGACCAACTTGCATAGAATGAAGTGTCCCATCTGTTGGCGGCCGACCCAAACATTAACTTTGACAATTCTATTTAAGCCTGAGTCATATTGAAAGTTTATTGATGATATGCAAGGTAGCAGTAAAACAAAATTTTAATTCTAGCATACAGAAATTTAGCTGAATGATTGTTCAAGTAAATTCCATCAGGAAGTGCTTTAGTAAAGCTAGAAAAGCCTGTTGAATATTACCATTCATAGATGGCAGCACGTTTCCAAACTATAACTGTCAGCTGACAATTTAAAGAAGTAGTCCGTGTTGGTTACTGTGGTAATAGCTAATGTGCCTGATGTGAATTGTCAGAAGCTACTTGTTTATATAGCTATGAGAGTAAGCTGGATGCTTACAAGTATGAAAATATACTTTTGTGACTATATGCGTGTAAAGTGTAGAACACATGCACGAAACTTTACACACAGTCAGTCATTCGTATGTGCCATCCAACACAAAATGAATTAAAACAGTACCAGAGGGCAACTTTTGTTAGAAAATGTGAGAGTTTGATCAGGGTATTAAGAGAGTGAATTACAAAGTTAACTGGGAATACCGATCTGATAAGCATTAATCGAGAAAGCAGCAGGTTTTGTTATCTCGGAATGAGAATGTTTCAGTTTTTACACTATGCCAAGCTTGCATAAGAAAACGACTTACACTGGTGGTAGTATATTAGTCAGGCAATACTGAAATTCGAGTGAGTGATGTGAAATTATCTGCAAAAAGTGATATTCATGAACAATATATCTGAGCTGATAAATATAAACTTGGTATAGCCCAATGCTTTATTTGTTATGCACAAATATTTTGATCATGCATATTGAAATATTTTTAAGAACTTTGTTTTTATATTATGTTCTTAACACGAATCAGTATATGCCCAGTTCTTCATGAGAATGTGGACTATGATGTTGGAGGCAAAATGTAACATCTCCATGAAAGTGGTAATTATTTTTGTGTTTAGTTTGTTGCTGACCAACGTCACTAGAAAGAAGAGGCATAGGTGATAAAGAATTCTCACAGTTCGAAAAATCAGGTTGACACCTACATGGTGTTTAATTTGTATCGGTCACTAGTATGGATACTTTCACTCCCCCCCCCCCATTTCTTTCCTACCAGTTCTGAGTTCTGTTAGTAAACAACCAAATAGTGATGGAGGGATTGCAGGGGGTACAGAATAACTGTGGACCGTCATCACGGTGATGACCACAGAAAGCATGGTTAAATTTTTGTTCGAGCCCAAGACCCAAGAATATCTGCATTGACCACAGTCCACATGTAGTAGGGATTGTATTCTAAGGGCTGGATTCATATAAGCACATATAGCCTGCAGACACAGAGCTTAATAACAGGTTTATTTTGTTCTGGTGGATGTTACAAGGACAGAGTATGTTTTATGACATGGATGCTACAGCTTTAATTCACACCCTTGGTCAAGATGATGGATATTACCAGGACGGAATATGTTTTATGACAGGGATGCAACAGCTTTAATTCACACTCTTGGTCAAGATGATGGATATTACTAGGACGAAGTATATTTTGTGACAAGGATGCTACAGCTGTAATTCACATTCTTGGTCAAGTTGATGGATATTACCAGGACAGAGTGTGTTTTGTGACATGGATGCTACAGGTTTAATTCACACTCTTGGTCAAGTTGATGGATATTACCAGGACGGAGTATATTTTGTGACATGGATGCAACAGCTTTAATTCACACTCTTGGTCAAGTTGATGGATATTACCAGGACGGAGTATATTTTGTGACATGGATGCTACAGCTTTAATTCACACTCTTGGTCAAGTTGATGGATATTACAAGGACGGAGTATATTTTGTGACATGGATGCTACAGCTGTAATTCACAATCTTGGTCAAGTTTTTTGTTCAATCGCACTTTGTTTTACCTCATACTTTCAATACTGGCTTTGCCTATTTAAGGCAAAATCTTATCCCATCTGGCTCTCATTATTTTCTTGAATTGGCCAATAATGTTCTCCAACAGTTTTTATTGCAGATGCCTACCTGAATGGCCAAAAAAAGAAGGAAATAGTAACGGATTTTTTATTATTTTTTTTTGGGATACTTCAGAGTTTACGGTGCTGCTTTCAGTGCCAGGGGTCGACCTTAATTGTATGGTATCGGAGCCAATAGATGAAGTTGCAATGGCGAATCATAGAGTAAAATGAAATGTAGGTAGTTTTTTATAATGCTATTGCCAAAATATCTAAATCACTCCAATATGCACCGCAAATTTAGAAAAATAAAACAATACTTCTTTACTATTCACCACTCTTGAGCTAACTGTCTATTTGTATTTATATCTATCTATAGCCTTGTTTCTAGACACATCCCAAATGTCTCTCAATCACTAATATTCTAGGACTTATTTGGTCTTAACGTGATGCGAGCTCTAGCTAACATCTAAATTAAAACGTTGAAAATATAGCTTACAAGGATATTATTAATATGCTCAAAAAAGGAGTTTGTAGCTGTTCCTGAAGAATGATCATCAAAGAGTCATCGAAATATCTTAACTAATAACTAGGGTCACGGATAGCAATAGTGATAGCAACTTTCTCAATTTTACTCATAAACATATTTGATAAAGCAGCAAATACTGGATTACTCATACATAGTCCACATTTATAACAAAAGATGAATCCCTTGAATTGGAAATTCCAATAAGTAGTAAAAATAAAATGTCGTACTTTACTCCTAAAAATTGTTAGTTGAGCATTAGAATAATTAGAAATAAAACTTACAACTATGCTAATGGTTCCTGTAATTGTGATATTAGTATATAGTAATGCTACATCGTAACTGGTTTTTGTTGTTGTTTTTCTAAAGGATTAAATTATTTTAGACGACCAACACGTTCAACAGAATTTTATACATTAGAAAATGTAAAATAATTTTCTAAAATTTTAAATAAAGTAATTAAATGACAACAATATAGGTCGTAACGGCTAATTTTCTTTGTGAATTTTGAGTAAGACATAGAGTTTTTTTTTTAATAGTTAATAAGTAATTTTCTAGAAATAGTGAGTTTGGTTGGAAGTAGTGGTGCTTTTTTGTCGCTCTGTTCAACTGGTGACTGTTACTCCTAGGGACCGCCCGTGAACTAGTGGTTAGTGTACGCCGACTGTGAATCCGATGATTCGTGGTTTTCGAACCGTTGCAGCAAAAACACGCTCTGTACTTTAAGGCCGTGGGTACACTATAAAAGTGACAGTCAAATTCAACTATTTGATCAGACAAGAATAGCCCAAGAGTCGGCGGTGGGTACTGTTGACTAACTGCTTTCTTTTCAGTTTCTAATTTTAAAAATAGGGACGGTTATGCGAGGATAGCCCTTGTATGGTTTTTAGGCGAAATTCTGAACAAAATAAATAAACAAAACCTTTCGAATACCATATTTGTGTTCATAAAAGAAAGATGGGTACTTTTGCATTCCATTTAAAAATATTTTTAAGATTGAAATGTTTTGCATAATAAAATTATAAGAATATTAAAAAGTGTCAAATATGAAGATGGCCAATGATGCAACAAAGCTCCGACCTCACGGGACGAGCGCTTTTATTAAACCAAGACCAATCGATTAAAAAAATCACATCAAAATGCGTCATATATTTTATTGTTTGTTCATGTTGTGGAAAATTATACATATGAGAAACCAGTAGATTATTAGCAGAACGTACCCGAGAACATCTCAAAGACATAATAAATTGTAACGCAGATAAACCAGTGGCCTGACACTTCAATTTGCACAACCATACCCGTGGCCATTTTAAAATTCTTGTTTTGAAAAAGGCCCCTACAAACAAACATAACCGCGAAGTACAAGAAAACAAAATAATTTTTGACCTGAGAACTTTCCACCCCGATAAATGAACGTTTTAGCTTTTTGTAATATATCCCGTTTAAAAGTTTTATATAGTAAATTATGTATCTATTATTTTCAAACTATAATCCATATATATATTCATATATGTATGTGCGTGCGTGGGTGTGCGCGCATGTGCTTGTATATGTGTATATATATGTATTTGTAAAATAATTTGTGTGTATCTATGTACATATATATGTGTGTGTGTGTGTGCGCGCGCTTGTATATATATACATATATATATTTATCACTTTCTATTGTTTCAATTGTTTGTAAGTATTGTTATACACGTATATTTGTTACATTGTCACGTCACGCGATCTTCGATTTAGAATGTTTTCGTTTAAGGATTTACTGTTCAGTTAGTGATACCTGAAGAAGGGCATTGCCCGAAACGTTGTATCCACAATTATATATAATAATATATATATATATTAACTCCTTAGTGGTTTGAACTATAATATACTTCTTTTTATGATATTAAATGTATTACTTTTGGCCTACTTCACTGCTTATTTATTTATGATGAAATGATTTTGTTGCGATTCAATTTTTTTGAAGCGCCACCTTTTTATTGTAAATATGAAAATGGACACAGACGAAGAGGATGAAGTTGTCGAAGAGGTTACATTTTCCTGTTGATTATGTTTTTTTTAGTGAATAATGCTTAGATATTGTTTATGTAATGATTCTAAATGCTATATCTACACTACATTTCTATTTCAGAATTATTGTCACCATAGAATCTGTCGTTATGCTATGTTAATATCACTATTACGTTATCCGGCTCAACGTGGTGACGTTCGCTTTTTGTGTTGAGTACGGATTTTCGTGTTGCAGGCTGTGGGTTGTACAGCACGTGGTACCACAGACTTGTTTCTATACATAGCTCAAATATTGTTACAAGTCTATAACTAATAGATAAATACTTTTTTCGTAAGAACTAGGTCTGAACTACCATGGGGAGTTTTATTTGTGTAACTAATACTTGAAACAATGGGAATTTGATGAGACTTTATAATTACATAATGGAAGAAAACAAAGTCAGTTGTACATTGCACAAATATATATTGATAATATGATTTCGCCTTTACTGGCAAAACCATGGTAGTCGTAAATGAAATGTTTGTGAAATGTACACTTGTCTTTGTTTTTCTCAATTCTGGACTTATATTTGTTTTTTCAATTTGTTATTACAACTGCTAATATTTGTCATTCCATACATAATTCTTATGGGTATTTTGTGTAAGGTGTAAAAATTTTATCATTCAAAGGCCTGCCTTTTTTTTATAGCACTGTATTTTAAAAGTGGTTATTATTCTAATATTACTTCTCTGCATCATTTCCAGCACATTAACATTCTTTAACTAACAAGTAGGCTAAAACTGAACATTGTTCTGACAAAAGGCTTGCTAAAGTCTGATACAAAGCAATTTTTTAAAATTCAAAATTTCTGTAAACATATTTTATAACTGTGTTGGCTCTTTTTCCATTAACTAAAAATGTAACTGGAGGTTTAAGTCTTATATTAGTACTAGTCACATCTGAATTGTGTAACTTCAAAACCAGTATTTCTTCAAAAATGTAATCACTTTTTCTTTTTTTTTTTCCTTCACCATAAGTACTTGCTTCTCTTTCACTAAATGTACCACAAGTACTTGTTGCTTTTCTGCACTTCTCAGTACTGAAAAACATTTTCTAAGATTTTGCCAATGTACTAAGACTACAAAGGTCTTACTGAATTAAAACAAACATCCATTACAGTATTAGTCAACATGTTAGTATTGTACCATATTTATGCTATTTATTTATTTTATTTGAAAAGGTTTTTCATTGTACAAAACTTGAAGATAGCTTTGATATACGGAAACATCTGTTAGCTTAGTTCTTGCACAGATCTTAAAATATAACGTTCATAAATGGAAACATCGGCTCATTTAGATACGTAGATCTTGAAAGTCAAGATGTTCAAAACTTGAAAATAGCATTGATAACTGGACCAATATACGCGGCCTAGCTAACTAATGAATGAATATTTGCAGTATAATTCTTATTTTGTTTTACCCACCATCATGCCCCAAGTTGAACAAAAAAACATGGCCTGGCTAACTAATGAATGAATATTTGCTATAAAATTCTTATCAATGCTATAAGTGTAGCTACCAGTTTATCTGACAATTTTGATTTTATTCCTTTAAGTTGCACACTCAATCATTTTTTGGCCACATCTTTTTTTTTCACACCTAAGGTGTTTTTGATTAAATATCACGACTTATCAATAAACACCAGCAAACCACAGCAAGTAAGAAAGTGACACTCGATAGTAACCCACATCAGCTTTAGGATTGCAACCCTATTATTTGGAACAGACCTTTACTTTATAGAACCAACCAGATTTTGAAAAATATATGGTGCTAGTTTTCCTCTCAAAAACAGAATTAAAAGCTTCCTAAAAACTAATATCATGTGATGCTAAATGTGGTTTAATTAGGATAATTTTATAAAATTTAGTAAATATGTGTTGAAAAGTTAACAATGAATAATCAATAATAACTGTCCACCTGTTTGATTCTTTTGAAAAGGTGAGCTAGAAACTGCCAATCTAATTTGCTTGGCCTAACCAATACTTGTGTATCTGCACGTCCTTTCACCATATAGTTTTGCTGCTGTAACAGTCCAATTTTTACTCTTAGGTGAAGTTTTAGTAAAAATGTTAGACAGATAGCTGACAAGATGTTTTACTTAGGCACACGCAAAATGTTTTGTCAAATTTGAGTTGTTTTTGTTAAATAACTTTACACACGTGGCTTATATTTACATCAAATGAGACTCCTAATTGTAAGTTGAAAAGATATATCAGTGTACCAAATTTGAAAAAATCCATAAAAGTTAAGTATGTTTTTCTATCAAATATAGTTTCTGTACTTTTGATGCAAAGAAACTCAAATAAAATTGGTGATGTTATATCTCGGGTATTTCTTAATAGATTGCCTTGAAATTTTGTATGTGTAGTAAGAGTCCAATAGAGAACATACACTGAAAGTATGTGACACTTTGAATTACCACAATCTGAGATACAGAAGATGGAAAATTACTAAACTATCACGCCTGTTGATAACACACACACAGTGTCCTGCAGCAGGTTGTTTTGGTTGCACAACACACTACCGTGTGTCTTGATTTATAATTGTGTAACTGTATTACTTAAATGTTGTATAAGCAGGCATTGATCTAGAGAAGGAGTTGAACTGCATTTGCCCTTTTTTTTTTCTCCAAAAACTGTATTACTTAAATGTTGTATAAACGGGTGCAGATCTAGAGGAGTGGAACTATGGGGTTCTGGATTCTCTCCATTTTTCCAGAAATTAATAACTGTATTAATGTTTTATAAGTAGGAACAGATCTAGGGAGGTCCAAACCACCCTCCTCCATTTTTTTTAGGAAGTAATAGAAAACAGCCAGATGTCTTTACACTACCATATTGTATTGAAAAAAAATAGATGTTGGTGTTTTAGTTGATTGGCTGTTAGTTATCGTAACAGGTTTTTTGAAGTTTTGTGAAATCAACACAGCTGTAGTCTACAGCATTCTAGTTACCACTCAACCAATAACTGATTATCTCTAAACTAATACAACAATTTGAACTCAATTAAACATTGCCTTTGTGCATTTTCATGCCTTGGCTTTCTCCAGACTATAGGAATGTTTCTTGTCTTTAGAGGTTTGCTTTCATCATAGTTAATATTGTTTAGAACACATGTTGTTCTTATAATTTTTATAGAATTGATTTGTCATTATTTAGAAGTTAGAATTCTTACGAGAAAAATCTTTTTAAAAAAGTTGTGTCCAGAATGAGTGAAAATGCAAGTGTTATAACTATAAATAATGAATTAAAATTTTTTTAAATAGAGTTACTGTATCCCAATGGTATATTTTTATGATAATAAATAATTATAACTAATTTTAATTAAGGAATTTGAAATGATTATTTTTATTTTCATATCAATCAAATTACTAGAAATAAAGTTATCAGCTTTAAAATTGTTGGATTATAACCTCAGCTAATACTTTACAGAATATATTAACATTATTTCACCTAACTTGTTTAGGTTACTTTAGGATTATATGGTTGAAATTAGTTAATCTTAAATATTCTGCTATTATCGTGGAAGTTTCTCCTTTCATGAGAAAAATACTGAAAATTTGGTTACACTGTTACACAGCTAACTGGTATCATACCATCATTGTAACAATGAAACATTACTGCATCTAGTATGGAGAAATTAAAACATTGTTACTACTTGTTAACGCAATACTGTATCATCTAAATATACTTTCTAGTATTATTCTTATTCATTCCTTAATGGTTTTGAAGCTTTGTAAGATAATGTTATAACTATCTAAAGTATTGTTTTACAAAACAAATTGATGTTATTTTAATTTTCGTATTGTTTGACTTTTGAAGACTTTTGAATTGAAGAATACCCAAAAATAGTATGTTTGTACTTTTACTGAACACTTGTTTGTGTAATAAGTAAGACAAGTTATGGTTATTAATATACCTTGGATGGTTTTCAAGCATATGTGTAACTGAGTAGTTACAGATATAATACATAAGGCCCCAATATTGTTCTATAAGTGCTTATAAACATGTGAAACAATACTGATTGTCTGGGAAAATATCTTGAAAAGTGTACACAGTGTTGTTTTAACAGGTGACTGATAAATAAATAACCCTTATCTATGAGGTTTTGAGTCCATTTTGCTTCACCATATATAGTAACCTAAATTAATTTAGGTATGTGAATAATGTTATGCTTCACCATATATAGTAACCTAAATTAATTTAGGTATGTGAATAATGTTATGCTTCACCATATATAGTAACCTAAATTAATTTAGGTATGTGAATAATGTTATGCTTTACCATATATAGTAACCTAAATTAATTTAGTTATGTGAATAATGTTATGCTTCACCATATATAGTAACCTAAATTAATTTAGGTATGTGAATAATGTTATGCTTTACCATATATAGTAACCTAAATTAATTTAGTTATGTGAATAATGTTATGCTTCACCATATATAGTAACCTAAATTAATTTAGGTATGTGAATAATGTTATGCTTCACCATATATAGTAACCTAAATTAATTTAGGTATGTGAATAATGTTATGACATTTCATCGAATTCATTATTCAGTGTTATACAGCAGACAAACTTTTTAATGATTGCATATGTTTATATAAATATACTAGAAGTGAAATTGAAAAGAGAGTCTGTGACAGAGGTCTAATGCATTCTTTGATTGGCCGTACCCTCTACCGTGTACTGCAGTTTAGTCTATTTAAGGCTCATCAGCACAGATTGAGTCAACAAACCATAGAAATACCACTAGGCCTATTATAATTGTGAAGTGAAAATATATAATTCTCTTTTAGATTTTCAAGCATTTACCTTAGTTTTTGTACAGGCCTTGGTTAAAACCTTGCTATGGGGCCACATTAAGTGGTTTGACTGTTACTTTGATAATACTACTTTGAAAACTGCTGTAAAGAAAGTTTAAATGTGGTTGGATAGAGCACAGGTTAGGCTAACATGTAATTGTAGAGTAAGTATA